CCCCGGGACGAGATTATTGCGGCCCTCCAACGCCGGCTTGACGAAATGGAGTCCAACAAAGCTCACGCCACCACCTCCACCCCTCATTCAGACCTGAAATACGAGGCCATGATGGCCAAAATGGAGGAATTACAGAAGAAGGTGGCCGAGGGCTCCGGGGAACCCGTCATCCAGCTCCGGACTCGGACGCCATTTACGCCAAGGGTATTGGCGGCCCGGATCCCGGAAAAATACCGAGGGCAACACATACAGCCCTACAACGGAAAAACGGACCCCCAGGAACATTACAGCAAATACCAGAACAGCATGATGATGGTAGGGGCGTCGGACGAATATTTGTGTCGTTGGTTCCTCTCCACCTTAGAGGGGCCGGCATACGAATGGTTCAACAGGCTGCCCGAGGGCTGTATTGATTCATGGCAAGAACTCGCCCAACGATTCTTGACACAATTTGCCGGGAGGCGTCGCACAAGGAAGCACTTCTCCCACCTCCTAACAATACGCCAGAAGAGGGATGAGACCCTTCGGGATTTCCTAGAGCGCTGGAGGACGGAGGCCGACAAGGTCGACGGTGCTGATGACGGGACCCTCCTGGCCCTCCAACAAACCGTCCTCCGCACCGGCAACTTTTCAAGGAGCCTCATCATTGAACCCCCCCGCGACTACATAAGGGCTTTACAGCGGGGGGACCGATATGCTGAGGCCGAGGAGGTGGAGAAGTATCACCAACATCCGGACCAGCAGCCCCCGAGGGCTGACAACAAGCATAACCGAGGGCCGGGGGCTCCTCCAAATCACCCCAAGACTTCGGGACCCTCTGATGACCGCCCTCGGCAAGGCCAAGCCAAGCCCGGGGGAGGTTATAAGGGCAACCCTAAGACTTGGGCACAGCCCATTCTCCTGGACCGCCCTCAGACACCATTGACGCACCCCGTCAGCATCATCCTCGATTTTGCCGAGGAGAGGGGCCTCGTTGAGCGCGATTCTCGCGCACCCCCGGAGGTACATGCTATCAACCCTCAGTTCCCCTACTGTCGTTTCCATCGGCACCAGGGGCACAGAACCGATGACGGCCATCAGCTAAAGACGGCCATCGAGAGATTAATACAGGCGGGACACCTGTCCCAATTTGTTCAGAGCCCTCGGCAGGAGGGACCTTCTCATCAGGGGCCTCCCCGAGGGCACCACACGAAGGTGAACGCTTGGGTGAACCCGAACACCATCCCCCTCGGCAAGAAGAGGGAGATCGGAAACTTGGAAGAAGAGGAGGAATATCCCCACTACCAGGAGAAAAAACGCCACATCCTCATGATCACCGGTGGCAATACAGGGGGCGATTCCACCAGCCAGCGGAAGAAGTGGGCTCAGTCGCTTTACGTGGGGGAAGTCACTCATATGCCCCCGGTAAAGCGACTGAGGGAGGAACCCATCACCTTCACCAACGCAGATCTCCCTCCTACTTCTTCTCCTCACAGGGATGCCTTGGTGATTCGGACGGAGATAAACGATACCATCATTCACCGAACTTACATTGACACGGGCAGCTCCGTCAATGTAATGTACCTCAGCACCTTCAGGGAGCTGCATCTGGAGAGGGGGTCCCTTCGGCCCATTAAGACCCCTCTGGCCGGCTTCACCGGCGACACTATTGATTCCGAGGGGGTAATAACCCTCCCGGTGATCTTCGGCGACGGGCTCCATAGAGCCCAGCTCGAAGTGGAGTTCGTCGATGTTAACATCGATTGCACCCACAACATCATCCTCGGCCGGCCAGCCCTCGAGGACCTCGAAGCCGTCATCTCCATGAGGCACCTCTGCCTCAAGTTTCCCGCCGAGGGGGGCATTGGCTACTCCCGGGGGAATCAGAAGATCGCCCGCGCCTGCTATCTTCAGGTCACTAAGAAGGTAAGCAAGACAGAATTCCGTGTTGACACCATCACCGGGACCATCGACCAAGAAGAAAAAAGGCCGAGGGCTGAACCAGCCGAGGACGTAGAAGACTTTGCGCTCGATCCGGCCCAGCCAGAGAGAGTCGTGAAGATTGGAGCCCAGCTCCCTGAAGATTTGAAGACCGGTATCACCGACGCCCTCCGCGCCTACTCCACTGTCTTTGCATGGGGGCCGGAGGACATGCCGGGAATCAGCCGAAGGGTCATCACCCACCGCCTCTCGGTGGACCCTTCGGCAAAAGCAGTACAACAACGAAGAAGACCCCTCTCCGCCGAGAGGAGGGAATTTGTGAAGAAGGAGGTCGCCATGCTCCTCTCCATTAAGCACATCAAGGAGGTGAAATATCCCTCATGGCTAGCAAATGTGGTCCTCGCACAGAAGCCCCCTACCTTCCGCATGTGCGTGGACTACACCGATCTCAACAAGGCGTGCCCTATGGATCCATTCCCTCTACCAAATATTGATCAACTGGTGGATGAGACCGCAGGGTGTGAGATCATGTCCTTCCTCGATGCCTTCCGAGGGTATCACCAAATTTTCATGCACGAGGAAGACGCCGAAAAAACTGCCTTCATGACTCCCGAGGGCATCTTCTGCTACCTAGTAATGGCCTTCGGCCTAAAGAACTCGGGGGCCACCTACACCCGGATGGTGGCCCGGGTCTTTCAAGCCGTCCTAGGGCGCACCATGGAGGCCTATGTGGACGATATGATCGTGAAAAGCAAGCAATCTTCCATCCATGCTGACGACCTCCGGGAAATCTTCGCCATCATGCAAAAGTTCAACCTTCGGCTAAACCCGAAGAAGTGCACCTTCGGCGTCCAAGGGGGCAAGTTCTTGGGCTACATGGTGAGCCGAAGGGGTATTGAGGCCAATCCCGAGAAAATCCAGGCCATCATCAACATGGAGCCCCCACGCAATGTGAAGGAAGTTCAACGGTTGACGGGCCACCTGGCAGCCCTCAACCGCTTTCTATCTAAATCAGCGGAGAAGTCTCTACCCTTCTTCCAGATCATGAGGAAGACGGCTGGCTTTCTATGGACTCTGGAATGCCAGGGGGCTTTCGACGAACTCAAGCGGTATCTATCTTCACCCCCTGTGCTCTCAAAACCAAAGGTAGGGGAGACCCTCTATCTCTACCTTGGGGTCAGCCCGGCGGCCATCAGCTCTGTGCTCATCCGGGAGGAAGACGGCATCCAACATGCCATCTTCTACGTTAGCAAGACCCTAAGGGAGGCCGAGCTTAGGTACTCTCCTGTGGAAAAAACGGTGTTAGCCATCGTTTGGACTGTCAAGAAGTTGGGCCACTACTTTCAAGCTCACCCGGTTCAGGTCCTCACTCATCAACCCCTCGGCGCCCTCATGAGGAGCCCCACCAGCTCCTCCCGCATGGTAAAATGGGCTATCTTCTTGAGCCAGTACAACATTGACATCCGCCCAAGGCCTGCCATCAAGGGCCAAGCGCTGGCGGACTTTGTGACGGAGTGTATCGCAAGGGCAGCCACGGACGAGGAGCCCTCGGCTGCCTCGGATGATTGGTGGACCCTCTACACTGACGGCTCCTCCGCGACCAAAGCATGCGGGGGAGGGGTAGTCCTCATTACTCCCGAGGGCTTCAGGGCCTACTATGCAATCCGCTTCTCCTTTAAAGTCTCCAACAACGAGGCCGAATACGAGGCCCTCCTATGTGGCCTTCGGCTGGCTGCCAACATGAGGGCTCGGCAGATCCACATCAAATGCGACTCCAAGTTGTTCGTTGGCCAAATCTCCGAAGAATATGAGGCCAAGGAGGGGAGAATGAAACAGTACAAGGAAGCGGCCAAGGAGTTGCTTAAGGTATTTGAGGCACAATCTCTCACTCAAATACCGAGGGCTCAGAACTCCGAGGCCGACATATTATCTAAGCTCTCGGCCGATTCCCCCGAGCACATCTCCAAAATTGCCAAAATTGAGGAACTCAGCCTCTCAAGTATCCATGCAAGCCCCGTTATAAACATACAACAACGCCAAGAGGATTGGATCACAGATATCACCGCCTTCATCTCCACAGGGCAGTTACCCGAGGATGAGACCCGCGCTAAACTGGCAAAGCTGAGGGCTCCTAGCTACACCATCGAAGATGGAAGGCTCTACAAACGATCTTACAATGGCACGCTACTTCGATGCCTTCATCAAGATGAGGCCGAGGTCGCGATGGAGGAAGTGCACAGTGGCACTTGCTCAGCTCACCAGGGACCCTTCTCCATGTCCCGAAGGCTCATTCTTCAGGGCTACTTCTGGCCAACCATGGCCAGAGATTGTGCTGACCTTGCCCGGAGGTGCACCGCATGTCAACATTTCCAGAAAGCCCCCGGCAGGCCAGCGGTCAACTATGCCCCCATCAGCACATCTGTCCCTTTTTCTCAATGGGGGATAGACCTTGTGGGCCCTCTGCCGAGGGGTACCTCCAACAACAGGTACATCATTGTGGCCATCGACTATTTTACCAAATGGGTGGAGGCTGAGCCCCTCGCTAGTATCACAGAGGCGAAGTGCCGTCATTTTGTCCTCAAGAACATCCTCATAAGGTTTGACGTCCCTCAGCAGATTATCTCCGACAATGGGACACAGTTTGAGGCAGCCCCCTTCTGTGCCCTTCTGGAGGCATGGGGCATCAAGCACACCTTCTCCTCCGTTGCATACCCTCAAGGCAACGGGCAAGTAGAGAATGCCAACCGGACCTTGCTCGAGGGCCTCAAAAAGAAGCTGGAGGCCGAGTGCGGTGGCTGGGTGGAAGAACTCCACAACATCCTGTGGGCCTACCGCACCACCCCTCGGCGAGCAACAGGTGAAGCACCCTTCTCCCTCTGCTACGGTTTTGAAGCCAAAGCTCCTACGGAAGTCACCCTTCCCACCCGAAGGGTGATCCAATATGACCCCGAGGTCAACGACAGCAACATGGCCCTCGACCTCCACCTCATTTCAGAACGCCGGGAGCAGGCCTTCTGTAACACTTGAGATTTAATATAAATGGATTAATAGTACTACTCATACCAACAGAGGTGCATCTCCTTTTAAGGGAGCTCATCACCCAAGAACTCCAAAGTTAAGCGTGCTTGCACGGGAGTAGTCTTGGGATGGGTGACCCCTTGGGAAGTTTCTCAGGGCGCGCATGAGTGAGGACAAAGTGTGCGGTAAAGGCTCGTGGTGGTTTGTGGGGACAGTACTATTGGTCCGGAGTAACTACCTCGGGTCTTATGGGGCCGGGGTGTTACAGGTGGTATCAGAGCAACCCCGCGACAGTGTGATGACCCGTTGGATATCGGGCGGGCACCTAGCGGGGGAAGATTCTGGGATATGATTTGATTGAAATTTGAGATTGGTTCAAGGACGCAACGAGGACGTTGCGATCCTAAGTGGTGGTGATTGTAACACTTGAGATTTAATATAAATGGATTAATAGTATTACTCATACCAACAGAGGTGCATCTCCTTTTAAGGGAGCTCATCACCCAAGAACTCCAAAGTTAAGCGTGCTTGCACGGGAGTAGTCTTGGGATGGGTGACCCCTTGGGAAGTTTCTCAGGGCGCGCATGAGTGAGGACAAAGTGTGCGGTAAAGGCTCGTGGTGGTTTGTGGGGACAGTACTATTGGTCCGGAGTAACTACCTCGGGTCTTATGGGGCCGGGGTGTTACACCTTCATCCGGGCAGAAAATTACCGAAGGCAAGTCAAAAGCTACATCAACGCCAAAGTTCGCACCAGAGAATTCCAAGTGGGGGACTATGTCCTCCGGAGGAGGGAAGCCAGCCAACCAACCGAGGGAGGAAAAATGGCACCAAAATTCGAAGGCCCCTACATCATAGCAGCCATCATCAAACCTGGGACTTACAAGCTCAAACGCCCCAACGGGAAAGAGGTCCCTAGGCACTGTAATGTACACCATTTAGTTAAATTTTACCAATAATGTAAGAGCGGCCAAGCCCTCATAACTAGTGAATGTACTATCCTATGGCCCAAGGCCTCCAATTTCGAAGAATGAAGATACATTCAAGACATCGAGCCCTCATACTGACTACAGGCCCCCGGCCTCAACACGAGAAGAACCCCCTCCGGCACCAAGTGCCGAGGGCGGACACCATCAACACCTACAACAACAGTGAAAACACCGCGTGTTTTCAGTCAAGACCCCTCGGTACCAAGTGCCGAGGGAAGGAACTCCTATCAACAACAACAGGGAACGCCATGTGTTTCATTTCCCTTCGGCACCCAGTGCCGAGGGTACATCCCCACCTTCAAAATCAAAAAAGTAGTTGATGAGAACACCAAGTGTTCCTAGAGAAGACCCTTCGGCACCCAGTGCCGAGGGTACACCTCCATCATCAAACATCGAAACGAAGAAAAAACACCAAATGTTTCAAAGAAGACCCCTCGGCACCCAGTGCCAGGGATATGCTCTCCTATCAACTTCCAAACATCTATTGGGAAACACTGAGTGTTTCATTTGAAGACCCTTCGGTATCAGGTACCGAGGGTAGACACCTCCATCAACTGCAACAAAAAAGAACACCAAGTGCTCCTACAGAAGCCCCTCGGTACCAAGTACCGGGGGCTACACATCGAAACTAACACCAAGTGTTGTTTCTAAAAGCCGTACCCCACGAGGACGCATATACTGAAGGCGCCACCATCGGTGCCGGCGGCACGTAGTGCCCCCGGCCATTTGCAACTAGTGTGCAAATGAAAACCCTTCCTTGAAACGCTTTCCGCGTCACTACCCCCAGGGTATGACAGGCATGAGAAATGCCAGGATTCGACTTTCAAAAATGGAACGCTATCCGCGTCATCACCCCAAGGGTGTGACAGGCACGAGAAATGCCCAGGATTCGACTTCCAAACCGAAACGCTCCCCGCGCCACCACCCCAAGGGTGTGGCAGGCCACGGACTATGTCTAACGCCGAGGGGACGACTTTCAAAAATGAGGCGCTTTCCGCGCCATCCCCCAAGGGGAGGCAGGTTACGGACCACCATATCTTGTGCCCAGGAAACGACCCTTGATCCCCTCGGAACTCGGAAGGTTAACCCGAGGGAGGAGAGCCATTGGTGTATTCTGATGGTCTCCTAATAGGCCCAGCCTTACCAAGAAACCAAGTTTCTTGATGCCTTCCCTTCACCACCAACCAAAAAAAAAAAGGGGGGGGGGGGGGTGAAGGGGAGTAGACTCAGCGAGAAATCAAAGAGTACACTCCAACAGATCACAACATGCCGAGGGCTCCCCACGGGAACACCTCCGGTAATTGAAGGCTCCTATTTCCCGAAGGATACTACTCAAACAAATATCATCAAGAAACGGCTAAGTCCACTGCCTGGTCACCTCCGGTCACACAAGCACCGAAGGCTTCAACAATACCAAGGGACGGGACTATCCAAAGCCCACTAAGCGGTACTACAAACACCGAAGGCATCTGTTATGCATTAATACCGAGGGCCCCTACCCCATTACAAGGGACACAACTGGCTGAGTCAAACTCTACAACTCTTCAGAGTGTATGCCGAGGACACACACTCATCATTGGCTTTCTTCACAACAACAGGATTCCACACTCTTCCTAAGTCCACATTTTCGGAAAATGACGGCAACCGGAGGCTAATATATCACCGGACAACCGAAGGCATATATTACAAATCATCAAAAATGAACCGAGGGGGACTACTCCAAAATACTTGCCCCTCGGACAGACTCCACACGGACCGAAGGTTCAACATCTACGACACTGTGAAATTTTTCTTAGCCCCACATATTTGGCCCTCGACCAAAGACTCCTATTCATATACCCGGAGGGATCTACATCCGGAAGCTCAACATCAATTTACGCTTAGAAAATATTCTAAGTCCTAAATGAGTAACCCACGGGCATCTCGCAATAGTGATGCAGAGTCAGAGGGCACCTATCACCCGAAGGCGACACAAGGAAGCAGCACTTGAAAAAATTCTAAGTCCTAATGATTGGGCCCCCGACCCAATCAATATTACAGCCAAGGGAATATGGTAGCCGAAGGCCACGCAATACGACAACACTTAAAAAAAAAAATATTCTGTCCTACATGAGCAGCCCCCGGGCATCTCGCAAAGTGATGTGGAGTCAGAAGGGATGCCATCTCCCGAAGGCTCCCAAGGGAAAATCTACACTTAGAATATTTTCTAAGTCCTACATATTTTTCCCCCGGTCAACTACTCTTGCATCAAGAAGGGATGCCATCTCCCGAAGGCTCCCAAGGGAAAAACTGCGCTTAGAAATCTTTCTAAGTCCTACATATTTCACCCTCAACTTATAAAGGGACCCAACAGCCGAAGGCTACCTATCAATCGAGGGCTACAGTACACAAGGAATCAACACTCAAGAAAATTTTCTAAGTCCTAAAGAATTGCCCCCCGGCCTATTCAATATTTCAGTTGGGGCTCCACAGTAGCCGAAGGCTACGTGACATACTACACTTGCAAAAAATTTCTAAGTCCCGTACATTGGGCCCTCGGTCCAATATTCACACATCAGGAAGGGATGCCAACTCCCGAAGGCTCCCAAGGGAAAATCTACACTTAGAAATTTTTCTAAGTCCTAGGAATTGGGTTACTACAAACACCCGAAGGCCCTATGGTGTGCTACACTTAGAAAAAATTTCTAAGTCCTAATTGCTGCTGAACCCTCGGTTGCATATCCAGCAGAGGGTGCCCAACTACCGAAGGCTTCCAAGGGCAAGCTACAATCAGAAAATATTTTAAGTCCTAGACATACATTCAAAAATACCGAAGGCATACATTCAAGGAAAACGGAGGCATACATTCAAGAAGAAAGGAATTGGAGAAAACAAGTCATATATACAGAGCCCGAAGGCAATCATTCATTCATCACAGCAAGGAGTAAATGTAGTTATTACAGTGTTGGCCGAGGCCGAAAACATGCTAATGTGGCTATTACAAAAGTGTTCTAAATACATATCAAATAATGTCATTCCCGGGGGCCGCCTCCCCCGATGGCTTCGAGGTGACTTCTACATCGGCCTCAGGATCGTCGCCCTCGGCTTCCCTCCGGAGCTCAGAATCCTCCAGGTCTGGCCTCTCGACATCAGGGGGAGAGGAACACGGATGTCTGGCTGCAGGGGGGAGCCCGTACGCCGCCGGATCAAAGTCCTTCGGCTCAATCTTCAGATGGCGGGCCATCCTCCGGTAGATGAGGGCTTGAGTGAAGAACTCCCCCCCCATCATAATACTGCTTACCCTTTCGGGCCATCCATTCCTCGCCCGGGCCCTCGCACCACTCTTCAACCGAGGCCTCCACAACCGAGGACAGCCATGCCCTGTGCCCCTCGGTCTTCCACCCCCCGTTCAGGAACCCGGAGATGGCCTCCTCCCGGGCTGTGGCGACAGCCTTCGCCTTGATGGCCTCGGCCTCCTCGGCTGCTCTCCTTGCGGCCTCCGCAGCGGCCGCCTCAGCTTCTGCCTTCTCCTCCCTAAGCCTCCCGCCCTCCGCCCTCGCAAGCTGGAGGTCCTCTTCAAGCTGGGCCATCAGCTTCGTGGCCTGGGAGTCCCTAAGGATCAGCTCCTTCAAGTTGGCGTCTTGCCCGGCTTTGTGGAGGCGCCATTCCTCCAGCCGTCGGAACTGCTCTCCGAGGGCAACGCAAGTCTGCAAAAATAAACGAGTTGTCAGGGCCGAACGCGGTTTCCTGGTTCAAAGTGGGAAAGAGAAAGGCAACTATCGTAAACTTACCGTGAGGGAAGACCGGAGGATCCTGTCTTCGAGGGCTTGATCATCATCGGCCCCGAGAGCTGCCCTGTCGATATCGAGGGTTATACCTCTCAGGAGCGCCCTCGGGTCAGCCGTGCCATTCAACACGGCCGTGCCAGCCGGAAGGGAGAGCGTGAGGACCTCGAAAGATGGCTCCCGGGCACCCCTCGGCACCTGCGCCATCGGCATCTCCGGAGGGTCATCTACAATCACCACCGGGGGGTCATCCTTCGCGGCGTCCCCCTTCTTCAACTTTTTGGGGGCCTGGGGGGGCTCCTTTGCCGACGGCTTCCTCTTCGCCGCAGCAGCATCGCCCTCGGGCTTCTTGGAAGGCGCACCGACGGGCTTTTGGCCGACAGCGTCCGGCCCCTTCGGGTCCTTAGCCGGCTTGTTCTTGAGTCGGGCGAGGCCTTTGACGTTCATCATGCTTACTGGGATACCTGCAAAAACAAAATGAGGGGTTAGGATCGAGGGGTCACTACTAAGTGGCATGAAGAATTAACGAAGCAAATGAACAAACGTGCTAAGATATGAGGGTGAGAATGCCCTCAGCTACTACCTCCGGAGGCTCCCTCAAACACTGGGAACTTCTCATCAGTTTCCCCCAGGAACCGGTATCACCGGAACCCGAGGGTGTAGAGATCTGCTTCTTTGGTACACTCCTTGATGGAGATATTCTTGTCCCGGCCCTCCGGGATCATGGCCAGAATCCTGCCATCTTTCTCGAGGGCGGCGCTCCTCCTCTTCTCGTGCCTCCTGAAGCGGTCACGCAGCTCCCTCGGGAAGGGGCTCTCGGCTAGCTTCACATAGCACCACCGGTCTTTCCACCCCTTGTTCGAGGAGGGCGCTTCAGTGAAGAGTTTGAACACGGACACCTGCTGCAAATTGGCGAATCCCTCGGCATTCGCGTGCCCCCCCCCCCCCTGGCACAGGTTGAAGATCTGGAAGAAGAGGTCCAGGCTAGGCGTCACCCCCCGGGACTTGCAAAGCTGAAGGAAGCCAGTGATATAAGAATGGCTGTTCGGGGTCAGCTGGCAGGGAACCAGACCCACGAACCGAAGATACTCCCGGAGGAAGGGGTGCAGGGGGAAGCGGAGCCCCATGGATACTGAGAGAACGTGCACCGCAATGCAGCCCTCGGGAGCCCGGGAGAGGACGTCATCCGGACCCGGTGTCACCACGATGGCCGAGGGGCCCACGTGAAGCTGGGTGACATAGATGTCCGCCGCATCAACCTTCGACTTGATCTCCAATGCGGCGGTGTTGAGAT